TAAATTTCATGGTATACGGTGAAAATATAAAATTTCTAATGACCAGTCACCTCAAAAACCTGCAATGATTCAAGACATTTAGGGAATTTACCATTTTGTTTGATTATGTAAACGTAAAGCAGTCACTTTAATTTTGCAACTGATTCGGGATCATACACTGAATCTTCATTTATAAGGATACCTATGAAAATCACTTTATTGAAATCACTAATTGAATCACTTATTGATATCAGGAAGGAAAAAAATCTTCCCAAAGTACAATTTTAAATTAGGATTTTTTTCCATTTACATCGACAAATATCTATGCTTAAAATTTAACTCAAAACTGTTCAATACATGCATGTAACGGACACTCAAAGTATTTCATGAACAATACTTTCCCCGTGTGCAATTCATCTCCTTTCCTTAAAAAGATTAAAAGCCTACAGGCAGCAGTTCTGTCAAACTCATAAACGAAGAACAAATTGCAAATTAATGATTTGATTTCGTTTCTCATATAGGTAGACATGTAGAAATGAAGAAAAATAGGATTTAAAAAAAGTTGGGCATGACAGATTTGGCTCATATCAATCGAATTAATATGGAAATTTCTACAAATCATCTCAAGAACAGCAAAACCATATGATTGGTCATAAAATACTAGTATAGGAGCATACTTTACTCAGGTAGTGTATACGTAGAGTTATATTTTTACTTTTAAATTATGATCCCTGGTGATAGGGGCAGCAATTACTGCCCAAAGTTCTACTCAGGAATACATAAGAAGAAAAAATGACAATTTTCTTCCCCAGAAAAGAAAAGGCGTAATTTGTCATACCGGTATATCATTTGGAAGCATCCTATTGATGTGTAGATTAAGCATTGTTCAAAGCAAGACCCCGTAGTGTAAGAAGAGGAGTTTTAAAGTTAGTTGATATTCTTGTTTTGCCAACTCCCTGCTCTTGCTTATCAGCTGGGAGACATAAACCCTATATACAGGTGATATGCTTATATTTCAACATAAGTAACGGAAGCTGGCGAGAAAAAGGTTAGACCCTTTCCGAAAAAAGTTGCCACAGGCTTGCTGCAGACATAAGCAAAACTTAAAATTTCATTCCAATAGAGAGAAGCATTGCTGCAAGCTTGTAGCAAACTTGTAGCAAGCTTGCAGCAAACATTTTACAATGCAAATGAGGTTTGTGGCAAGCTTGCAGCAAACATTCCAATGCCCGTATAAGAACAGCTTCTTGCGAACATTGCTTCATACTTGCCGCAAACATTGCTGCAAAGAAAATGTGGTCATTGCTGTAAGCTTGTGGCAAACATTTTACCATGCAAATGAAGTATGCAACAATCGTACACATGCCAATATATTAAAAAAGCAATCATTGCTGCATACAATTTCTTAGACAGCTTTGCTAGGTGCAAGCATTCATTGACAAATTTAATCATCCAATAAGCCTTATGAACCATCATCTTTGTGAAAGATTCTTGCAAACAATATCTGGTGGTTTTTAGCTCACCTGAGCCGAAGGCTCAAGTGAGCTTTTCTGATCAAAATTTGTCCGTTGTCTGTCGTCGTCGTCGTTGTCGTCGTTGTTGTCGTCGTTGTTGTCGTTAACTTTTCACATTTTCATCTTCTTCTCAAGAACCACTGGGCCAATTTCAACCAAACTTGGCACAAAGTATCCTTGGGTGAAGGGGATTCAAGTTTGTTCAAATGAAGGGCCACGCCCTTTTCCAAGGGGAGATAATCATGAATTTGTTAAAAATTAATGGCATTTTTAAAAAATCTTCTTCTCCAGAACCGCTGGGTCAGGAAAGATGAAACTCATGTGGAAGCATCCTCAGGTAGAGTAGATTCAAGTTTGTTCAAATCAAGACCCCCGGGGCAAGGGTGGGGCCAAAATGGCCGACCCAAGTTTTACACAGGAATATATAGGAAAAAACCTTTAAAAATCTTCTTCTCCAGAACCACTGGGCTAGGAAAGATGAAACTCATGTGGATTCATCCTCAGGTAGTGTAGATTTAAGTTTGTTCAAATCAAGACCCCCGGGGCAAAGGTGGGGCCAAAATGGCCGACCCAAGTTTTACATAGAAATGTATAGGAAAAATCTTTAAAAATCTTCTTCTCCAGAACCATTGGGCTAGGAAAGATGAAACTCATGTGGAATCATCCTCAGGTAGTGTAGATTCAAATTTGTTCAAATCATGACCCCCGGGGCAAGGATGGGGCCAAAATGGCCGACCCAAGTTTTACACAGGAATATATAGGAAAAATCTTTAAAAATCTTCTCCTCCAGAACCACTCGGACAGGAAAGATGAAACTCATGTGGAAGCATCCTCAGGAAGTGTAGATTCAAGTTTGTTCAAATCATGACTCCAGGGGCAAGGGTGGGGCCAAAATGGCCGACCCAAGTTTTACATAGGAATATATAGGAAAAATCTTTAAAAATCTTCTTCTCCAGAACCACTGGGCCAGGAAAGATGAAACTCATGTGGAATCATCCTTAGGTAGTGTAGATTCAAGTTTGTTCAAATCATGACCCCCGGGGCAAGGGTGGGGCCAAAATGGCCGACCCAAGTTTTACATAGGAATGTATAGGAAATATCTTTAAAAATCCTTCTCAATTACCACTGGGCCAGGAAAGATGAAACTGATAGGGAAGCCATCCTCAGGTAGTGTAGACTCAAGTTTTTTTAAAATCAAGACCCCCGGCCCTGGGGATAGGGTGGGGCCAAAATGGCCGACCCAAGTTTTACATAGGGATATATAGGGAAACCTTTTAAAATCTTCTTTTCAAGTACTTCAAAGCAATGATTAGTGATATTTATATGGAATCATCCTCAGGTAGTGTAGATTCTAGTTTGTTCAAATGATGAACGCCTGGAAGGGGGGGGGGGGGGTAGTAAATTCAAGCCCGATGTGCTCAGGTGAGCGCTGTGGCCCCTGGGCCTCTTGTTTAAGTTTCCTGCAACTTCTCGCCAACAATATTTTATGGTGTAAGTTTCCTGCAGGTTTCTCGCGAACAATATCTAATGGTTTAGGTTTCCTGCAAGCTTTCTGCGAAGAGGCAAGTTTCTGCGAATTAGCAGAAAGCTTGCTGCAAAGAGCCGCAATGTTCACAGAAAGGTTGCAGTAAGTTGTGAACATCTGCGAACATAACTTTTTTTCTTCCTGCTAATTTGCTTGCTGCAGACTTTCTGCAAATTTGCAGAGGTCTACAGCTAACATCACTGTTCTGTAAGGGAAGTCATCACGTTTATTATAATTTTTTTCTATAATTCACCTTAAAAGTATTTATCTAGTAAATTATCAAAATATGAAACAAATGCGTTAGTCTCAGTTATATGTTTTATTTCAAGTTCTCTGATATATATATAGAGTCAATGAATGGAAGTAGCGATTGTTAATTAACAATACCTTGTAGATGCATCTAAATGTCATGTTGAATGTCAGAGAGTGTTTCCGTCTTAATTATCATGTGTAAGATTTGGACAATTCTTGCTTTATATGCATGAATACAAAAATTGTCTGCTTACATGTATATCTGGGCACCATTGGTACCCATGGGATTTCCGATGGATTGTTGAAAGATTTGATCTACAAAAATTATATAGTGATTGTCAATCAGAAACTCAAGCATCTTTTTTTAAAATGACAACTTCAGAGCACTTGTGTGTACAACCAGAATATTTTAAAGGAGTTTGCAAATGAACAGTGTTGACAAACAGTGACAAGGTATTTAAATTTATGAGTTTCGTTTCATTGAAAAAAACCAGTTGTCTATGACGTCAAAAAGCCTGAACGTTTATACAATGTTATATATATTGTGGGGAATGGTTGTATAAAGCGTTGATTATCCTTTAATGCTTTTAACTTTGGAACATATTGTGAATTCAAATATTCCAAAAGCTCATTAGAGTTTGAAGTATTTTCATCGGATTTACACCGCCTTGAATATATATTGTTGTACAATACTCCTGAACTGCTGTTTATATTTAGGGAGTAAGAGGAAAGAGCTTGATGAAAAAAATAACTGAACATACTATTTTTCTTTGTTAAGATTTTAATGAAGTTTAGGAATCCAGTACAGATTAGTGTAGATTCATGTGATATTTGTTATTTACTTTAAAATTCTAATTTTCATTGATTTTGAACTTAAATTACTCCACGTTTCTATAGTTAAATTGATTTTAAACTGTCTGCTATTTAATATAAAAATATTGTCGCATATCTGCGGTGATTTTCCTTGATCTTTCTGTGGTGATATATCCCATATCACATATGAGATAATACTTTCCACGCCCCTTCATATATCACTGCTGGAGGCAGAAATCAGGTCAAGAATTTTTTTATTGAATTTTGAATAAATTTTTTCAATGAAATTTACGTCATCAGACATGCGACAAGTTGCTTACATCATAGATGCCTCATACTATTGGTTATATCGTTTTCATGGGGCGTGGAAATCGAGGGCACTCTTCGATTTCCATGCCCCATGAAAACGATATAATAAATACTACTCGGAATCTATGATGTAACCTATACTTAAAATAAAAATAAATGTTATTGTTTCAAATCTGTGATATCTATGGATGCGATTGATTTTAAATTGTGTAATTTACAGGAAAAACCTTTCTTTATTTCAGAATTAAAACAAACAGAAAGATCTTTTTAATTTTAGTTAGTCTGAACTTATCAAAAATATGCCATATATGACTTGAAACTATAAAAATAAAAAAATACACTGTACATATTGAAATGCTCAAAATACTTTTGCATTTTTAAACAGTTATAGTCATTTCACTATTCCAGTGAACTTGTGATTTGTTAGAAAATTTATCAACTGTCTACAGAAATACAGAGAGTAGTTCCTAATGTCCATTGAACACAGCTGTGGGAAGTTTCACGCAAATACTTTTCACTCCATCCTGTTTTTAAGTAACATATGTTCTTTCTTGAATGAAAAAAGATTGGAAACCTTCTCCATAACACAAGACAATAACAACAAAAGATTATCTAGTTTCATTATTTTGTATCATCTCATATGAAATCACAGTATACACATTCACAACAAACATGGCTTATGAGATTTATGAAGTTTGCAGTAAAAATAAAAACATTCAATTTCAAATCATGAAATCTTTTTTTTTCACCTACAATAAACACTGATTTGTGATCAATCTCTAAAGATGAAGGTTTCTTTAGAAGAACAGTCTCAGTTCACATATTATTGTAGACGAGTTGTCTCCTTTCTTTCGAATTCAGCATGGTCAACACACAACATCATATTGTTTGTCTGAATTAAATTTTCCCTCACATCTTTTTCAGATATACTCAATGTTAATATAAAATGTTTCTATGAATCAAATTTTCCCAAGATGTCTCCATCCCGAAATAAAAAGTACTCCTGAAAAAGAAAATGTGATCGATGTTAGATTTAAAATTTGTTTTTTAAGATAAGAGAGAGGAAAATATGATTATACATATATTTCTTGCCTACACAATTTTTTTAATCCCTCTTGTTAGATCATACAAGCATTTGCATTCACATCAACTGTTAAATTCCCCACTTACGTTTATATCTACAATCACTTACTTTTTCGTCCAGGATGACTTTGGTGCCGCCGTACTCTGGTAGTAGAACTTGGTCGCCGACCTTGACACTGATGGGCACGATGTTCCCTTGCTGTAAAATAAATTCAAATAAACCAATCATTAAATCTCTACATATACATCAACACAACGAAGAATGTTACAAAAAATAATATATAAGTTACTAATTCTTTAAAACAATGTTTGCCCTCTCCTGACTCGGGGAAAAATACTGGGTCGACAGGTAGGTGGAAAAGTTTTTCTCCCAGAAAATTCCATTTCAAATATTATTTCTTAGATGTAAATAAAATAGTGTCAGACCATTTTTAGTAGCAAGAGGGCAAACAAAACATTTTTTTTAAAGATTACCACAAAAAGACTTAATTATAAAAAAAAATTCTGTTTTCCTTGAACCTGTTTTACAAGCAATGTCATACAGTTGAATGAAAAACATACATTCTAACAATGCCTTCATATATATGAATTGTGCAACAAGCTGTTTTAATATGTAATATGTATCGGGTATGCACCCCTTAATAAAACTGTACAAGTCTCCTCTTTTGATGCAATATTGTATACCTCTCCTTTTTCCCCCTCTCTCCAAAAAAATCAGAGAGGGCCACAATATTGCAGCTAGTTCACTCTTGTTTACAAACAAAACCCTTTCCTCTCTTTTTTTCGATCTGGAATCTTTGATGATTGAATACTGGGACTACTTTTGCTGACATACCTGGTCCCTGGCCCCATTTCCTGTCGCGACCACCGTGGCCTGTAGCACCTTCCCTTGCGATTTCTCGGGCAGCATGATCCCTCCCTTTGTTTTCAGTTCTGGAGCAAACCTTTCCACCAGGACTCGGTCAAACAGAGGCAAGAATCGCTTCAAAGCAGAGGCCTAAAAAAGAATCAAACTATTTATTCACAATAGTTACTAGATGGAATGTTCTGTCATTAAAATGATAAATGTCCTACAGACCAGGTTTAGTGGTGAGGGCTTGTCCCGAGACACCGTTAGATTATTCTAACTAAATGTTTTATAAAGATATTTTGTCAGCTTTTCTTCTCTGTCAGAAGGGTTCTAAGTGTCTTTCAAAGGAATCCCTTTTTTAATTTATAATTTCATAACATTTCATAAATATTTTTGAAGCACATGACTTCAAAAAGTAAATCTGAGGTTAGCACACAGTAAAACACATACACTGAAACTTACATATTATTAAAACTTAAATGATTAGCAGGAAAAGGACATTTTACACTTTTACAAGGTTCTTCAGTAATCTCACATGGAAATTGAACTGTCTTAAATGCAATTTGTGCAAGGTATATAATATAGAATAAACTTTAAATCAAAACTTGTTTTCTTGATAAACAGGGGATTGTTGCATGATACAGAGAAAATTCGGGATAAGCATGTGCTCTTGTTGTTGTGCAAGAATTGAAGAGTTCCAAAACATACAAATACATAGTCTACGATTCCACTTAGTATGCAAGAATTTTGTTGTCTACCACTCTTTGTACATCTCAATGTCAAATGTTGCATCACATAAAACAAAATTATATAATGAATCCTCCCTTCTCATCCAAAACATTATGAAATTTACCAGGGCCACATCTTATAAACAACCTGAATGTTGTAGCCGCAAAACTTATATTTCATCGTTTTATATTAATATTCGTTTACCTTTGTAATTGCGTACATTACTCACCATGTTGAATCTGCAGCAGAGCTTTTCTCTTCCTGACCTCGGAAATGTCTAGAACTGAAACCACGTGTTGAGTTTACGTTAGTGCGCAGGTGCAACATTCCGGAAAACACGAGGCCCAGTAAATAGCTTTAAATCATATTTATTGATTTTTTTTCTAAATCCATAAAGCATAAGAGAATTTGTTTTATTTTAAAAAGTTTCTTAACTTGATTTGCGAAAAGAACCGTTTTCACATGTTCCAACTTGCGTAGATATAAGAAGATTGTAAGACTTGAATTCTTGAATGCTAGGTGTAGGGCCTCCATATTAGAAACCTTCCGAAGGTCATACGAACGGATCCGGTCACAACTTCCAGAAAGCTGAGAGAGGTGAAACTGTCACATCTAGCCGGCTAAAATTGTCAGGTAAAGTAAATTTTTGCGACAATTTTTATGTTGAGACAAGCAATCTGGTACTTTGTATGTTAATGTACATGTATTGTGCAACAATAGTTAATGTGCGCAGTTACTTTAGTAATAAGAATTAAAATTGATGTAGCCCACGTGGGTAGCACGTTTCATCAGAAATATTATGCAAGGTACTAAGTAACAAAGCTGAGCTGAAAGTCCCCCACTGACCTTTTGCAATCATATTGTAAGTAATTTAATGCACGGGAAACGATTTTGTGTTGTAAATTACATTAAATTATTGTAAAATTGGAAACTTGCATAATTTAAAGGGAGAGGTTGTTATTTTATTGAAGTGGGGGGGGGGGGGGGCCAAGTTATTTGATGTGAAGAATTTTTAAAAATCTTCTATAACGTTAAGTTTCAACGTTAAGTTCCCCTATGTTGAAATGAACTGGTACGGTATGTCCATCATGCTTTGATAGTATCTCATATAAACATTATAAATGATTATTTTTTAAAAATCTTCACAGATCTCATAATGTACAGACTGCCCAGTCTTCTCCGAACATCAGTGGCACGCCACTTCACTCCAACTTTAACAAGAAGTTATGCTAAAGATGTCAAATTTGGAGCAGATGCTAGAGCTATGATGATTCAGGGGGCCGACACATTGGCTGATGCCGTAGCTGTTACCATGGGACCAAAGGTTTTATTTTTTTCTTCTAACCTATTAAATTTAAAATAAGGGATATGCTCAATTACTTGAAATGTAAAGAGAGGAATTTTAATTTGCAAAATGTTGAAAGAAAAAATTTTGAGGTTACTGTTCATTATTTTAGGGAAGGAATGTCATTATTGAACAAAGCTGGGGTAGTCCAAAGATCACCAAAGATGGGGTGACAGTAGCCAAGGCTATCGACCTACAGGACAAGTATCAGAACATCGGCGCCAAGCTGGTCCAGGACGTCGCTAATAACACCAACGAGGAGGCAGGCGACGGAACCACCTGTGCCACAGTCCTAGCCCGAGCCATCGCAAAGGAAGGGTTTGACAAGATCAGCAAGGGAGCTAACCCTATCGAGATTAGGAAAGGTAAACTTCAACTTTACAACAGCTCAAAATGTGAGCGTGTAGATTTTACCTCTGTTAGTCAAAGGATTTATTGATATACATAGATATGTTTGATATTCATCTGTGAAATTCGAGATGATTATTTTTATCAATTCATCTTTTTAAAATTTTATATGACCAGTTCAACCTATCTCGGTGAATGCCATGATCAGCAATAATGAGATTTTTTCAATTTGAGAGATATGAGTATGTTTTGATTGCATCCTTCTTCATCACCTCACTCAATATAGTGAACGTGGTTGTTCTTAGATGCTATAGCAACACATGATCCTTTCGCATTGTGATTGACCTTTGTTGTCATGATGATAGAAATCATGTGACAGTTTTCATTTCCCTTAGGAAACGAATGCCTAATATTAAAACCTAAATTTTTCGAAGATTTTTTTAATGTAATAAATCTTATTGTACGTTTCAGGTGTGATGACAGCTGTTGAAGTGGTGGTGGATAATCTGAAAAAAATGTCGAAACCCGTCTCCACTCCAGAGGAGATTTCTCAGGTACTAGATAGGCCGAATCCCGGAAATAATTAAATTTGACAAAAAAAAAAAGATTGATTTTAGAAATAAAAAAGAACAAATTTTGATATTATAAAAATATTAACAAACTGTAGGTCAGGAAAAGTTCTCATTATCATTATACATGTACAGGTTGCCACCATATCTGCCAATGGTGACAAAGACATTGGAAACTTGATTGCCGATGCCATGAAGAAAGTGGGAAGAGATGGGGTTATTACTGTCAAGGTAGAAGGCCATTACAAATTTTATACAGCTAGCTCAGTTCAGAATCTTGATTTCTTTTATCCCAGGCACAAATCAAATTTTGATGATATGACAATAATGTGCTAATCATTTTGCTAAATTATTTTAGACTAAACATTGAGTTGTGTATTAAGTAGGTCTATTATTTGTAGGATGGAAAAACCCTGAAGGATGAGTTGGAGACGATTGAGGGAATGCAGTTTGACAGAGGATACATCTCTCCTTACTTCATGAACTCCTCGAAAGGTTTGTCTTATCAACATTTTTAGCTGTTATCTCCTGAAAGAAAGTAATTCAGTTCACTGATAAATAACAGGAAGGATTTTTACCTGACATACAAAAAAAAAAGCAATATTCAAATTATGAATTTTTGGCATTTCTTTTTAATATATTGAATGTTGTCTGGGGAAAATCAGTCTAAGAAGATAGAACTTAGGATTTTATACTTTTTTTCTTCTTTCGAAACTTCCGGTTTGAAAAAAAAATAACTTCAGATTATGAATATGATCCTAACCTACTTTTATTTTCTAATGCAATCTCTTTAATTTTTTAGGAGCAAAGTGTGAGTTTCAGGATGCCCTTGTGTTATTCAGTGAGAAGAAGATTTCCACCATTCAGTCTATTATTCCAGCCCTAGAAACCGCTAACAAGGCTCAGAGACCTCTCCTTATCGTAGCGGAGGACGTCGATGGCGAAGCACTGAGCGGACTCGTACTCAACAGGTAAATTAGGTCATGAACAGGTAAAATTATCCATCAGGTATCATAAACGTCCTCAAAGGGCAAAAGGAAATACCAAGTGTTGCACATTACTCATTCCTTGGGAGGCCATTTAACAGCCTTTTGAGATTACATTGTGCATACATTGATCTGTTGACCAAATTAATTTGCCTTTCTTGTGCATTGTTTATATTAATTTGATCAATGACATGTTTGAATTTCTTGTAAGTCTAAATTTATAATTGTTATAACTTAAAAGCTGAATGATGTCAGGTTTTGTCTTGTAGACTGAAGGTAGGACTCCAGGTGTGTGCTGTCAAGGCTCCAGGGTTTGGGGACAACAGGAAGAATACACTCCGAGACATGGCCATCGCAAGCGGTGGAATTGTAAGTGCCGTATTAAATTGGACTGGATCTTTTAAGTACATCTACATTTAATTCTTTAGCAAATCTTTGAGACTTTGGGCATATGGGACTTTCACTTTTGAAATCATCTACACTTAATTGTATTCATTTGTAATAAATTGTGAAGTAAATTTAGAGACTTTGGGCAGTGTTAAAGTAAATACAGTCAAACTTGATTATATCAAACTTTGAATGGAACCAAGGGAAAACTGAGATAACCAAAGAATAAAGATATTGAGGAGAGTAAAATACATAGAGAAAAAAATGATTTTGTTTTCCAAATGACTTTAACATATTCATTTTCTAATTTATGACTGTATTGTAGGTATTTGGAGATGAAGCGGACATGTACAAAATTGAGGATGTCCAGATGAATGACTTTGGTACTGTGAAGGAAGTTACTGTCACCAAAGACGATACTCTCCTGATGAAGGTCAGTACTTAAAGGAGCATGCTCAAATAAACTGAAGATGTAGATAGAAAACTGCTCTCTGAAGTTTACCTACCTTCATGAGAAGGAGGGGGGGTAGAGAATGTTGGAAAAATCATGTAATAATAGAATGTATGTAAACTGAATGTCATTATATTGTGATAGGGAGATAAAGAGATTGACACATGTAATAACAAAATAATAAAAGGTATGTAAACTAACTGTTATTATATTGTGATAGGGAGGTGGTGACAAGAAAGAAATTGAGAAGAGAATCCAGCAGCTACGAGATGAGATTGAACTCTCCACATCCGAGTACGAGAAAGAAAAACTCAATGAACGACTCGCCAAGCTGTCAGCAGGAGTTGCTGTTCTCAAGGTAAATTTTAAAAGATGAACTTGGAGGGGGAGAGGGAGGCAATCTGACCTCTCACAATGAAATGTACATTAGCGTATTTTGCATATTAAACCCAAACTAAAAAAAGACATGATTTTTTGTGATGTTTCAATATTTCTTCATAGGTATTGTGCCTATTTCCTCACACAGAATTGATTTTCTGACTAACTCAATATATTGTCCCAGCCCTATTTAACATGCACCAGCTCTACACCAGGTGATGCTAACATAATCATTTGGCATGTACTTTGGTGCTACAGTAACTGTTTGTACACTTTCTTGATAAAACCTCTACAGTTTATCAAGCATTACGCAAATGATAGTAAAAATTTATTTTTAGCTCACATGAGCTGAAGGTTCAAGTGAGCTTTTCTGATCACCCGTTGTCCATCGTCTGTCTGTCTGTCTATAAACTTTTCACATTTTCAACTTCTCAAGAACCACTGCACCAGTTAAAACCAAACTGGGTTTAAAGCATCCTTGGGTGAAGGGGGGAGTAAAAATTTTTAAATTGAAGGGCCAGGTTACCTTACAAGGGGAGATAATCAAGTAAAGACCAAAATAGAGTGATGTCATAAAAAAGTCTTCTTCTCAAAAATCACTGAGCCGGAAAGGTTGAAACTTATGTGGAAGCATTCTTAGGAAGCCTAGATTTTATATTGTTCAAATCATGAACCCATGGGGGTAGGGCGGGGTCATAATAGGTATTACAAGGACGACATCTGGTAAATAACACCATGTCCAATTATTCAGGTGAGCATTATGGCCTATGGGCCTCATTAAAAATTTTGCGTTGATAATGTAGTGAGTAGAAAGTGAAAAGTGAAGTATATTTGTGGCTTGTGAATATTTGTCAGATGTTATTAAATACATTTTCTGTTTAACTTTGTATTGATGTGAGTATCCTCTCACACAGAATCAGTATTTTGTCTATCAATATTTAGTCTCAGCCCTATTTGACATGCACCAGCTCTACACCAGGTGATGCTATCATAATCATTTGGCATGTACTTTGGTGCTACAGTAACTATTTGTACACTTTCTTGATAAAACCTCCACAGTTTATCAAGCATTACGCAAATGACATTTTAAAAAAATAATTTACATGTATATTTTAAAAATTTTGCATTGATTAATTTGCAAATAGAATTACAGAAAATGTAATTAATTTGTGGATTGTGAATATTTGTCACCTGTTCTTTACATTTGGTGTTTATTTTGTGTTAATTCTTGTCAACAGATTGGTGGATCCAGTGAGGTGGAGGTGAATGAGAAGAAGGACCGGGTAAACGATGCCCTCTGTGCTACAAAGGCCGCCATAGAGGAGGGAATTGTCCCCGGGGGAGGGGTCGCTCTGCTCCGCAGTATCAAGGCTCTGGAGAGTGTCCAGGGAAACAACAATGATCAGAATACAGGTTAGATCACTGTCAGTGTGCTATCAGTCACTGTTATTTTATTTAGCCCTTTACCTTGACTCTCAATCAAATTTTCTTTCAATACAGAGGCCATCTGTCAAGGTAGAGTTGGCACAATAAAGACCCTAACTGCTCAATGGTAGTAAATGCTGAGTAAAGGTCAAAATTTTAAGCCCTTCACCAGTAAATGGTGACCTGGCTATATGAGTGAAATATTCTTGAATGGGATGTTAAACAACATTCAGTCAATCAATATTCAGAACCATATAGATCAGAAAACTATGTTTTTAAGCCTTTTTCATTTGTTTTGAAGGGATGATGGGTGGTAGTATCATTATTTTTTTCTCTGTTAAGGTATTGAGATAGTGAGGAAGTCCCTACGTTTACCAACACTTACCATTGTTTCTAATGCTGGACTGGACCCACACCCCATTGTAGAAAAAGTCCTGAGCAGTGAAGGAGACTTTGGATACGATGCCCTCAATAATGAGTTTGTGAACATGATAGAAAAGGGAATTATTGATCCTACAAAGGTAAGTAAGGGGACAAATTTCCAAAGGTCTCAAAAGGCTCATAGAGCTGTTTATTCCATTGGAAAGGAACAACTTTCCATTGAATCTGAAGTTCAATGAATAAGGCTTCCATTGAATCTGAAGTTCAATGAATAAGGCTTGGTCAAATTAAAATTTATTGGTCAATCATTCTTTTTTTTTAATTATTTCTTTCTTAAATGATCTGATTTGTTAAAATAATTAAGATTCTAAATTGTGGTTCCTTCTTTCAGGTTGTCAGGACAGCAATAGTGGACGCATCAGGAGTTGCCTCCCTTTTATCGACGGCGGAGGCAGTAATCACGGAAATTCCTAAGAAGGAGGAGCCTATGCCAGGTGGTATGGGAGGAATGGGTGGGATGGGAGGCATGGGCGGGATGATGTGATGATTGACAGCTCAGAAACAAATCTGATTGGCTGAGATGTGATAGTGTCATTATGAAGGACATAAATCTGTTTTTATGATAAATATTTCATTTTGACAAGACACTGAAAAACAAAAATATGGCCAGGTGTCCAGCTTGTGTTGTGAAGGGCGATTGTGAAGTATTAAGACTTACGGAGTGCATCTAAAAGAAGAAGCTGGGGGACTTCTGATAAAAATTTGCTTCTGTTAAAATTCTAATTTTTTTATGTCATTTCTGCTTATTGCTAATCTGCTTTTTATCACAATACTTTGTAGAACTGAACAACTTTCTTTATGTCTGTCAATTGCAATCATTAAAGTTGATTTCTTTTGACTTGATAAATGAATTCAAATCTCTTATAAGCATTATAAATGTGTTCATCTTGCCACTTCAAGCATTTCCTAGAACTTTGTCACTCTTCAAAAGTATGCTCCTGCATGGATGACCTATCGTTCATTCTATGTTATATAACCATTATTTGGATGACCAATACCAGATATGATTGTGTGCTATTAGAGGTTTTATTATTTTATGTTAGAGGGATAAATGTAGTATATTTGTGATATTGAGTGAAATGATGTGAATCATTAAATGTATTTTGTATCAAGATTTTGATGTTACTTTTTGTTTCGCTCACCTGAGCTGAAAGCTCAAGTGGGCTTTTCTGTTAACCAGTTTTCCATCTGTCCATCTGTAAACTTCACGTTTCCAACTTCTCAAGAACCAGTGGGTTAATTATACCCCATGCAACTAGTTGCGTGAGGTATAATGTTTTTGACCCATCCGTCAGAGTGTCAGTCAGCCAGTCCTTTTTTTTTTGTCAGCGCAACTCCTCATAAACCGCTGCACAGAATTTCGTCAAACTTCGCAGATATTTAGGACACAATGTGTAGATGTGCATATTACCGGGAAATTCCGATTCTTTCATTTTTTCTGGGATTTTCAGCACTTTGGGTTTTAGGGGAGCGTGGGGTATGTGAGCTTGCTCACTTTTTCTTTCATTTTAAAGTTGGACAAGGCATCCTTGGGTGAAGAGGGATTTGAATTCTTATAATGAATGGCAAGCCCCGTTACTAGGGAAGATGATCAAGAAAAAACAAAAAATGGTCAGGTTGTTACAAATTCAAAAGAATCACTTGGCTGAAAGCATCCTGAGGTGGTGTAGATTCTAAATTGTTCAAATCTTAAGTGTTGGGTTATGGAGGGTAATCGTTTTCAAATGGGGGAGGGTGGGGCCACAGTAGGAAACATTCATTAAGGAACTTCTCAAGAACCACTGGGTCAGAAATGCTGAAACTTATCTGGAAGCATCCTTGGGTTAAGTACGTACAACTGTAGTTATAATTGAACATGGCAATCGAGAGGAAATTGATCTGCAGTAATTGAACTTTGGTAAATTGATTGCAGGTGCCAACTGCTTATTCTTTGAGTATTTTACCTTTGTTGTATCCAGTCCTCAAATATCGAGGTTTTTTCTCGGTCCCATGGCATCAAAATAAATTTTGATCCTTCATATACATGTACAACCTCCTTTGGCTTTTGCTAAACTTTATTTGGGTTTGAAATGAATGCTGTAAAATAAATAAGTTATCATCTTTGCTTGATTAAACTATAGAGGCAGCCAAAGGTTTGATGTTCTAAAAGATTCCGGGGGTCTGAAACCTCCACGAGGGGGCCCATTTTGGATTAACTGGGAATATTCAGTTTATAGGATTGAGGGAGACAACTCCAACAATCTTCTGCTACCTTTTCTAGCGTATTATTGAAACCTTGTACACCACAGGAACTTGAGGCCTAAATTATTATGAAGAATAAAGTTCATTATTCCATCTCAGAACTGGAAACAATGACTTTCAATAAGTTTGGATTCCCCAAACTAATGGAAGTGTTTACTAATTGTTATGACAACATTTTTTCCAATTCTATGAATTTTAGAACTAAAAAAGAGTTTGTAATAAAATATACATAATTATACCTTTATCATTTCCTAAATTATACATTAAAATATAAATGTTGACATTTCTTTCAGAAGTGAGAATCCTCATTTGACTCTTCTTAGTACTGATTGTCCATTTCAATTGAAAGCGCTGAATACTTGCTCTTGGAAAATGGGCCAATTCATATCAGTTTGATATTGAAGGTTTTGGCAATGTAATCTTTTTGAATACTAAATCCATTGTGTTCATTATGTTTTTCTCAGAAGGGCCATTAAACTCTGTGTACACGGGAGTTATTTTCCCCAATTTTAAATGGCCTCAGTTCGCTTGAAAGTACTTGTAAGGAAGCCAGAAAAAAAACGTCGACTTCTTTGGAAAAATATTCAAAAAGCACATCACTGAAATAACAAAAAAAAAAAAAAATTGATAACGGCAAATGCCATTTTCTGCTCATTTAAAATTGGAAATTTGTAGCTTCCATTTGAATGTATGTTTCTTAAGTATAAATATCCAGGCCTCAATACCATAAACAGAGAACAAACTTGGTAGTCATTTTTATTTATTTTGAATTCTATGCAACACATGGGCCTAAACATCGGCAGTGTTGTGTAATGTACAAATTCACGGACATGTGAAAAAAAAATTCATTCAAATCGAAATTATTTTAAAAGTTATACTGAGTTAGAAATTTGTTCTCAGTTCATGGTCTTGAGGCCAGGTCACCAATACCAGGATGTTTTAGTCAAATTAAAGGCAGCGGAGCAGCGCATGTCATTACTAAGGTTCCAAGTGGATACTGGCTTAATACTAAATCGACCCAATCAAATAACAGGATCTCAATGCTTGACTCAGCTTTCCTCTTTAATTATTAAATACCTGCTCTAATTATTTACATTTAGATGAATAACGACTTTTGAAATGCTTGAATATAATGACAACTTCACAAGAGTCTAACATTGAAGCTGCGAAAAGAATGCCATCGAAATGAAAAGTTTCTAATCTTTGAAAGATTTAACCATACATCATGTATAGCTTCTATTTTTTCGAAAACTTCCTTTATGATGTTTTTTTGATCTTTGGTTACAATGTATAGTATGGAAAGCCGTAGGGTACCCCCACATTATTATTATTTTTTCCTATATAATTATACCAAAAATAATTATCTCATCCCAAACTGAAAATCTTGCTTTTTACAACATTATTATTATTTTCCTGCAATAATTATAATGTTGTCTGTTAAATTGTACACATTATTTTATTTTCCCCAATTATCATTATTTACACTTTACAATAATAATCTTGCCAGTCAATGTGGACACGATAAAAAAAAAAAAAAAAAAAAAATTTAAATAATTTTTTTTTTATTATTTTTATTTTGTACACATTTTTTTTTATTTTACTTCAAGATCATAATTATTCTTATTTCATCATTTTATAACAATGCATCCCTGTAATAACAATGTAGTGATTTAAAAAAAAAAATAAAATTAAAAAAAAAAAAATTATTAAAACAATTATTTCCGAAATCTTCTTTGCAACAATAATAATGATGTAAACGGGACTTTGTTTTTATTTTCAACAGGAAAGATAACTTCTTTTTTAGTGACAGTAACGAAAACTCTGTCCCCTTCTCCACAATAATTATAAGATTGTGACTGCCTACATTATTTGAAGCGTGAAGATTTTATTATTTCTAGCGTGACGGATACAAACGTTTAAGTGAGAGAGATTTTCCTACATTATTTGAAGCGTGAAGATTTTGTTATTTGAAGCGTGAAGATTTTATTATTTGAAGCGTGAAGTTTTTATTATTTGAAGCGTGAAGTTTTTATTATTTCAAGTGTGACGGAAATCAAGCGTCGATGCGAGAGAGATCGTCTCCTGAAAAGGCCATGTGCGCTGTTCAGCCTGTTGCAAATATGAATGTAATTGTAAACAAAATGAAAGACAGAAAATCCAGCTATAGGCTTTTTAAAAGCGGTGAGTACGGACTAATCATAATGTATATGTAAGTGACTTACATCATTCAGATAACGTCTCTTAAATCGGATGTGAGTTTATTGTAAATTGAGCTAGAGTTAAAACATTTCGAATTGCCTCAGACAGCTATCAGAAACCGACCATGTAGTGTGCACATAGACGCATGCATTATAAAACCAACCTGTCTGATTTAAAAAAGGACAATCATTTCATTTGATTGTACTGACGGATTAAGTAAATAAACATTCCCCCTTGTATATAGTATAATTAAGTCTGATTTTGGTGGAAAAAATAAATAATCATTCTTTGATCAAGTGGAAATACATATATTCTGTCCTGTGAATGGAAGAATTTAATCTGAAAAGTTCCCAGACCCCGCCACTACCTTTTTATGAAAAGGTTGTGACTTTAACATGGTGAAAAATGCCTTTCCTTGCCAAACATTTCTCATCTACTCCTCAGACCTCTGTACATGCCATAATCTTGCCATAATCTTGCACATACATCTACGCATTTATATTTTTAGATTTTGTATGTCTATCTGCCACTGATTGAAAGAAAATTCAAGATAGAAAATGAATCAGCTGAACAATTAATTCTGTCTGAAAGTGGTGCAAGAGATACCTGATGTTTCATTTCAAAATGAAGAATTTGATGGTAAGGTTACTAAGGCCTTAATAAAAATCATTTTAACAATGAAATGCTTTCTTTGAATGTTAGAATGGTAATTAACATTGCAGTTGTTGCAGCAGAAAAAAATGCATAACCCATGTAAGCGGGATATGCATTTTTTTCTGCAACATCTGCAACATAAAGTCCCATTCTAACAAAACAAAGAAAGGCGATTTATTGTTTATATTGATTGATCCTTTAAATCTGGGAGGTGTTCTACAGTGTAGCTGCTATGCTGCCACTATGTAAAGCAATGCTTTTGATAGCTGCAGATCTGTAGCATTATGGTTTTTTTTATATTTGTCTTTGACCATAACGCTACAGATCCTGTAGTGCAGAAAATGTGCACTACAGGATCTGTAGCGTTATGGTCAAAGACAAATATAAAAACCCATAATGCTACAGATCTGCAGCTATGCTTTTGATTGTAGAGCTAGCCTAGCTGCTACATAGGGTGACTTAAATTAGTACCTGGTAGTAGGGTACTCATTTCACTAAGCTATCGAAGCTGTTGGGAAACACTGGATGAGAATTACTTGGGTACACTTTTTTCGCCTACTTCCTATAGTTTATAAAAAAAAAAATACTACTAATATATAATTTCTATTTACACTATATCATATAAATATTCTTAATTTTATATAAATGAACAATAAATAAAAGCATTAAAAAGGTGGAATTTAAGAGGGTTAATATACTCGTAGCGCTCCATTCCTTAAAAGTAATATGGGCCTCGCCTCCATAATAGAGCGCTACGAGTATATTAACCCTTACATATAATTATATGAAATACATGATTACTGTCTTAAAATATAAGCGATATTTGGGCGAGGGTAAGAAAACATGATAGGAGCAAGGCTTGCCTATCCCTCTTACGTTTTCGACCTGAGCCCAAATATTGCTCATATTTCAAGACAGTTATCATGTATTTTGTTTATCCTGCAACATATTTTAAACATTTAAACCTCCAAAACAAGCTATTTTTGACAGATTTAGGCACATCTCTGCAGTTGAAAACTA